CATCGTCATCATGTTCATCATCATCGTTTGTGGTTTTTATACAACTGTCTGTTTGTGCCTACTAGGATCATTTTCAAGAAGATCGCAGAGAAGGTGGGCCTGGAGCGAGTGGCGGGCCCAGGTTTCGAGTGCTGGGGAACTGACAGGGCTTGCATTGGCCTTCGAGGGCATGGTACGTACGACATGTTTCCAAGCTGCATGCAAATTTTTGGGGTTGCGAATGTGAGGCTTAGTTTGCTCTCTTTCAGGGTTCTGGCTCCACGCGAGTGAAAGCCGAGGCAGCCAAGGGTTGCTACGGGTCAGGTTTGCGATTTCGTTTTCCTTGTGACCGTGCATGTCTTTGATTGCTCAGTTTATATTTGCGTCAAAGCTATATGAACCGATAGCATGGACTTCGGAGCAGCTCCATTTCGGGACAATGCCTGTGCTTTCCACAGCGCTACACCCGAAACCCGAGAGGTGCAAAAGACAACAGTCGGAGACTTGAGGGCGACTTAAACCCACAGTAGCATCATCGTCATATTCTGCAGCAACAACGACACAGGAATACAGACACACTGACGATAGAGTCAGAAATATGGATAAAGGCATGTAGTAAGTAGATCAACATTCACAAATGCGAGACCCCAGCCCTGGAACCGTGAAGCCCAAACCATGAACCCTCATATTACCTGCAGCCGTCCAACACCTCACTTACAGTGCTGAGTTCCACTCACATGCCTGCCTTGATGGTGTGTTCACCGGTGGTCGGTATTCTAAACAGGGTGCATGACAAAGCAGTGTATCAGCCCAGGGCTCAACGTCTGTTTGACGCGCGATGTTCTAGGGCTGTAAGCTTCACGGTCTGGTGTTGCCTGTTGTCGTAGCCTGCCCTGAATCCCATTCAGAATCGTACCCACGTGGCTGCGAGAAGGTCCGCCTCATCGTCACCGGGAGCGCACCCATTGCCGACAATGTTTTGGACTTTATCCGAATTGCTGGGGCCTTTGCACCGACTTGTCGATTTCCCCACTCTCAGCCCCCAAGCCACGAAGGACGATTAGCCGTGACCATGCCTGATGAAGCTTTAGCTCCCAAACCTGATTGGGAAAGGGATCTCAACTTCGTAAACCTTCTACGTTTGCTGCATTGACGAAGAGCCTTTCCAAAGTATTGGCTGCAGGTTTTCTGCTGCCCCGTGCGCCCGGCATGCTGAGCAGTCAAGATCAGAATATGTCCTCTCAAGCTGGATTCCTTTTGCTGTGCTCGCTGTGACTGTACATTGCTACAAAGCAGACACTACAAGCAATATCAAGCAAGCAATTGCAGAATACGAAGGCAGCAAGGGCAAGTGTTTATCTTCACCATTGTTGAAACTTGAATTTCCGTCTGTCACACGACTAAGCACCGTCAGCATCATGCGCATCGTCACCACTCCCCTATCACCGACATCACTGTCGTCTTCACCACCACACCCACCATCCTAGCGATCCATCCAAAAAACTGTCGTCCACACAGCCATTTGCATAATCTTCATCGCCATCAGCAATACACGGTTTGTAAACAAAATATATAATGTTCGTGGATTTTTGGTGACGGTAGTTGGCTGGTCCGCCTCCGCCAGAACGCAAAACCTGGATCCAAGACAACCCCAAACTGTATCAGCTGACGCTTTCTCAATCCTGTGACGGTTGAGAGTGCGAGCACGAGCTGAGCTCAGTTGCGAAAATCAACAGAGGCTGGCGTGTTTGTTGCAGGCTGGCGAGAAAATCCAGCAGACCAGCAAAGCTTTAGAGCCAAGCAACCGGGAATTCTTGTTGCGCTTTAAGGGACGGTAGAGGAGGTAAGGGGAAGATGGAGGGGTGCGGGCGCAGGGTCAGAGGAAAGTAAACGGATCGGAGGAAGACAGTGGGAAGTCGTCTGGGGGTTGGAAGAAGGGAGTGGCAAAGCCAGAAGCTTCCCGGGTTGGCGGATTCATGTTAAGCTCAGGGGAAAGCCTGAATGCCCTTTGTGGACGGATGCTTCCTGTAGCTCACGATTCTCAAGTGGATGCGCGGTCTCAAGGCCCTGAACACCCACAGCCTCATCTGCGAATTACCGGCACTAGTTTCTGAACACTGTGTTTTTGAATGATTCCAGCCAGGTCTTAGAAGGTTACGGCCTTTCAGAGACGGCTGCAGGAGGCCACGGCTGATGCGTGTCACTACGGTTTCGGACTTAAGAAGATTTCCGTGCTGGGTACTTAGGCATTGGGATTCCCTCAGACCTTTGGAATTGGTGGGTTAACAAGTCAGATCTCAATGTAGTCTACATGATGTTCGGTTCTCTGCGACAGAGGCAACGTGGTGGCGAGCGCATCCCTCTGTTTGCCATCGTCAAATCGTACTAGTCCGTGCTGCCAAGATCAAGTTCTCCATGTGAGGCTGAAAATATCCGTGCTCCACACAGCTTGCAGAAACCCGCGGTGCATTTTGAAGAACAAGCCTCGAGCCAGGCACCATTACGGCCGACCAAGACATGATACCCGGTACAGTTGGCGCCGTCACTGCCTGCAACGAGATTCGGTTGAAGGACTGGCTTTTGTAAGCCTGGGGTTTGGGGCTCATGGTTCAGTTAGTTTGTCTTTCATGATGAATTCAGCACGGTTCTACTCCTCAGAACGAAGATTCGATCTCTGTTCTGTGCCTTTGCACGACACGGCAGCTTCCAGGGCCTCCTGATATCTGGGAGAGAAACGACAACAATCAGGTGTCCCGATGCGGGCATCTCTATGCTGCTGCTGCTACTGCCACTGCTGCTGCCGCCGCTACTTCTACTACTTCTTCTATTATTACTACTACGACGACGACGACTACGACTACTACTACTATTACGACGGCTACGACTACGGCGACTACTGCTGCTTACGACTTTCACTTTTACTTCTTCTTCTACTACTACTACTACTACTACTACTCCTACTACTACTAATACTACTACTCCTGCTG